GGGACTCGGCCGTCCCACATCCCTGGCCGCCCCGGGCTGCGGCGCCTCTGCGCTGCGCTCCGGAGGCTCGGCGCGGGCCCGCTTGGCCTCCGGGGTCCCCGCGCCCGGCTTGGGCTTCCTCTTGCGGCGCCGGTAGTTGCCGTTCTCGAACATGTCCAGGCAGCGAGGGTCGAGCGTCCAGTAGCTGCCCTTGCCGGGCCGCCCCTTCTCGCGCGGAACCTTCACGAAGCACTCGTTGAGGGAGAGGTTGTGGCGGATGCTGTTCTGCCAGCCCTGGCGGTTGTCGTGGTAGAAGGGGAAGCGGTCCATGATGAACTGGTAGATGCCGTTCAGGGTGACCCTCTGTTCCGGCGCGTCCTGGATCGCCATGGCGATGAGCGCGATGTAGCTGTAGGGAGGCTTCTGCGGGGGCTCCGCGCGCCCCGGTGCGGCCAGCGCAGCGGCGGGGGCGAAGGCCAAGGGCAGCCCGGGCCTCTCGGGGCCGTACAGGTAGAGCATCGGGGAGGCCAGAGCCGGCAGCGCGGGGCTGAAGAGGTGGCTCATGGCGAGCGGGACCCGCCGCCGCGCTCCCCGCAACGCAGGCGACCCGGCGGCTCAGGGACTTCGCCCCGCGCCGCGAGGGCCCTCCCGGGGAGCCCTCGGTGCGTCCTCCCGGCGCTCTGCTCTCCCCAACCGCTGCGTGCTCTGTCCCTTGTTCATAGCTTTAAAATGTTAAATAATTGTTGTAAGCTTGCTATTATATGTTGACTTAGCGCTGGAAAATAAATTGTCTATGATAAACAGTCCCTGTGTTCTCAGCCCACCCACATTAATTAAAATTTCATTGCTAAGAATCTCCCAGCTTTTCCCTCCACGTGTCTTTTTGATACCAGCCAATCGCTTTCGGGGCTACTCTTCATTTGTTTATAGAATTAGTCTGTTGATAAGTCCGCCCACCCAAGTTGAATCAAGCTGTGTTTATTTGGAAAAATTTCCGGGCACCCAATATATAAACGCACTGATCTGATGTTTGAAATATCACGTCCACCCCTTGACGCTGTAAGCACAAGTCAGTGAGGCAGGATGTGGAGAGAAGGGTGGCTCTCCCCGAGCTGGTCTGCTGAGCCAGGAAGGAGGGATGGGGCTGGGGGTGGGGAAGCCAAGGGGTGCGTTTTCAGGCTGGTCTGAGGGGAGCCCAGAAACTCTGATCCTCCCACAAAAGGTCTTTTATTCTTCCCAGGTTCAAAGGTGCTGCTGGGACCGCACAGTGCCCTCCTGCACGTGCTGGGGAGGGGTGGCTGATGAGAGGTCGCTGGAAAGATACTAGACACCTCCTGGAGATGGGCACTCTAGGGGACTGCTGTCCCAAGGCCCCACCTCGCAGGCCCCCTCAGGACTCCCGGAAGGAGGGGACCCCAGGAGGCGGCCTTTCCGGACGGGAAGGCCAGGGCACTGGGAAGCTGCCGACCGAGAAAGTACCTGGTCCTGGCGCCATTGAAGGTTGCAAATAAGCCCCTTGGAAAGCAGGGAGGGGCAAAACTAAAGTCTTTGGCTGGGCCTAAGGTTGCTAGCAAGAAACACCATAAAAGGGGAATTTGGCAGCTGGCGGGGGTTGGTATTCGTGAATGTGGGCCTTTTGCTTTATATTCTGTGCTTTCCTGTTTATAACAAGGAGGGGGTTATAACAACTTTACAAGTGCATGCAGCTGGCTGGTGATTACATTAAGCATTTGCAATGACTGCTTGCTGCCCCCCCCATCCACCCTGGGGTGTAAGCACCCCACCACCACCCCCATCTCATCTTACATTAGCTTCATCAAGCTTTGCATCCAAACTCCTGAATGACAGCCATTCCAAAGGAAGCCGCTCCCATGCCCCCCCCAAGTGGGGTGCGGGTAGGGGTGCAGATTAGCATGGGGTGAGCAGTTTGTGTTCAGGATGTCTGCAGAGTATTCTTTCAAAGGAATGAGAAAACACCGAGGGTAACTAAGTTAGTGTATCCAGGAGTAACTCACCCTCAGGTCAAAGAAGAGGGAGGCTTAGGACCTCAGGTGGGTAAAGAAATGTATGTCCACAGCCTGAGGGGGAGAGATACTGAGCACCAGTGTGGGGGGTAGGGAGCCAGGCCTGGACTAGTGGCCAGGGTTTGGGTGGTTTCGCAAGGTGGAGTAGTGTGCCAGGGTGAAGCATCGAAATCAGGGTATCCAGAATACAGCCCACCTTTTGGGTCATCCTGACACCCCTCCACCTCAGAGAAGCAGGTAAATCTGAAATACAAAAAAAGGAAATCCTGATGGAAAAACCACTTTGGGTGCTAGTTGGGCCTGAGGGAGTGTCCTGCTAGGCCACTGCCATCTCCCTCGGTGAGGACAGCATTTGCAACCAGGGTCCACCAGGAAGCCCAGGCTATCCCGCCCAGGTCCTGGGGGTGGCCTCTAGCCAAGAGGGCGGTGGTATGGTCCCCTGTGCACCCCTGGACTTCACCAGAGCACGCTTTCCAATCCTCAGCTGTACGATCGGGTCTCTCACCTCCCCGCAGCCCCCTTTTCTCTCCAGAACAAAACTAGAAGCCCAGCGCCGGCTCGGAAGAACCCACTCCCTCCTTCCAGCATCCGCCCCCTTCTACAGACCCACTCCTAGAGTTTATAAACTGGGGTCTCGGAGCGACTCCCCCTCTCTCCTCTACACCCCGCAGCCCGTCCCAGAGCTCTCCAGACACCCTAAGTACAGCACCCACACCCTTGACTCCTGAAACGCGCGCCCCTCTGTGCTGTCTCAGGGAGCGCTACAACCCCTAAGGCAAATCCGAGCCGGAATTCGGATGATGATAAACACCCCCGGATTTGGTCAGCGGAGAGACACGCCCAAGTGGGCGGGACACAGACAGTAAATGAGAAGAAAGTTTAGAAACCACGTCTGTTTGGATGCGTACGCCCTGAGGTTTGCAGTGTCTCCAGGAGGCTGAAGCCGGTGAGATCCGGCTTTGGGCTATGACCCGACCCCAGCCCACCTAAAGCCTGGGCTCCCAGGTGAAGTTTGTAACTTGAGCCCCGCGAGGGCCTGCTTTGCAAGGATTCCCGCTGGGGCTTGTTTCCGCATTTCCGGGGCCCGGGTTTCCTAGGCCAGGGAGTCCCGGAGCCTGGGAACGGATGCGCCCTCGTGCGGAAGCTCTGGTCGCGGAGGACCCCTCCGGACCGGACCCGGAGCCTAGGAGACAGCCCCGAGGAGTGGGTGTCACAGACGGGAGAGGACACCCAGAATTTCGACCCAGCTCCTTAAATCTTCAGAGCCCAGAAAATAACAGCTGTTCTGGACAGTCAGTTGGTGACCGCCACCTCCCTCCCTGGAGAGCCCGCCCGGTGCGCATCCGCACCAGGCTTCCCAGCCCCGGAGCAGAACAGGCAGTGGGCGCAGCATGGGATGTGGGTAGACGTTCCCAGACCTGGATAAAGGTGGACGTGCGCTCCTCGGGGAGGCAGTGGGGAGCCCAGGCAATCCCGAGGAGACCGACCTCTAAAAAGGCCCGAAGAGCGAAGGGCGAGAGCCCGGAGCTGCTTGACTGCCCCCAGGTGTCCCCCACAAAGCCCGCCTCTAGTGAAGGCCCACCTACCTCCACCTACCCGCCCTTTCTCCAAAAGTCAAAGCAGCCACTGGCAAATGTGCATTCTACTTAGGCGTTTCGGATCTCGCCTCAACTTCGAGTGCTTGGGCTTGGGCGGGGCAGAAAAGCGTCAGACAACCACCTTAATGACAACTTAAAAACAATGGAGGGAAAACAAGATTAGTCACTAAAATAAATTGAGCTGCGGGAGTGCTGAGCCTGTCAGAAGTGTTTGGTCTAAGTCAGTCCACCGCCTGAGCAACAAGACACAGGCCTCTGATCAATGCCAACTCAGGAGGCTGAGGCAGGAGGGCCAAAATTCAAGGGTCTGCCTGGGTAGCTTGTCTTCAGCCTGTCTCAAAATAAAAACCATAGCCCCAGCTGACCTGGAACTTGCTGTGTAGATCAGACTGGCCTGGATCTCACAGAGGTATGCCTACCTCTGCCTCCCAAGTGCTGGGATTAAAGGCGGCCGCCCACCACGCACCCTATAAACAGACCTGGCCTGGTGGCTCAGCACAGTTGTCCCAGCACTTGGGAGGTGGAAGCAGGGAGACCAGAAGTTCAAGGTCATCCTCAGCTTTGCAGAGAGTTTGAGATCAGCCTGAGGTACATGAGACCCTGTCCAAATAAATAAATAATAAATAAATAAATAAATAAATAATAAGGCTGTAGATACAGTTCAGTAGTAGAATACTTGCCTAGCTTTTTATTTTTTATTTTTTGGTCTTTTTGAGACAGGGTCTCCCTGTAGCCCCAGCTGGCCTGGAACTCATTATGTAGACCAGGCTGGCCTTGAACTCACAGAGATCCACCTGCCTCTGCCTCCAGAGTGCTGAGACTAAAGGCGCGTGCCACCACACCTAGCTGTCATTCCATTTTCCAGACCAAGAAACTGAGGTCCAGTAAGTTAATTTGCCTCAGCTCTCCATGGAAGAATGTTCCAAAGACAGTCTCCTCACAACAGCCGTGCTGTGGAAGCTCCCTCCAAACCCTCCCAGCATCCCTGAGGGATGTGAACGCGGCTGACGCAGGGCTCCTCACAGCCACCAAGGTGGGAACTGGCAGAACAAACATTTGAAGCTCAGGTGTCCTAGGAGACAGAGAAAATGGGATGGAGAGCAGGAGACTAAAGGGAGGGGGAGTGAGGAAGGAGGGAGAGACTGAGAGACTGGAGGGTGAGCAGATCCAGAGCTGGAGCCTGGGTACCCTAGGTCCTCTCTTACACCGTCCTTCTACCCTCCTCCTTCTTTCAAAAGAGCAGAGGCTTCTAGAACCAGGTCTGCAGCCACTTCCCCTAGGGGGTGTGGGTAAGGATAGGGCCTTTAGGTCAGGGCAGCTAGGCCTGATCAGCTGATGCTAAGTGGGGCCTCGCAAGCAGAGCTGGGTTTCCAAACGACTCATTTATAGCTCACCTTGTTTCCAGAAAGGAAAGGCTCCTAAGAAGGCTATGAGAGCATGCCCACAACCCCACCCAAAGCCTTCCTGTCGGATGCATGCCAGGAATCCTGCTCTCCTGGAGAATCCTCTCTAACGGGGCACTGTCAGGACCAGGGCTACCCACCCTCACCAGACCCTATTTCATGATGCTGTTGTCACCTAGGAGACTTGGCTCAGAAGCTTAAGGTAATGGGGTGAACATAGTCTGTTTATGGGGCCTGCTGGAATAGTGCTGAGGACTCCAGAGTAGAGGAAGTCTCCCTGGGAGGCAGGATGCCTGGGAAATAGCAAAGCCAGGGTGGAAAGGCCATGGCTGTATGGCCAACCAGGGCCTTTCTGGCCCTCAAGGCCTCCCAGTCTGGGTGGCCACAGACTGAGGTCCCTGTACCCAAGCCCAGGACAGAGTGAGCAGGTGGAAGCCCCAGGGTGTCTGCACACTTGTCTATCATCTCTCCCTCCATCCCAGCTCCACACACAGTCACAGGCCCAGGATGAAGTATCCCGGTCACCCCCAACACACACACACACACACACACACACACACACACACACACA